CCTTATTTGCAATAACTAGTGTATGTCTGAGACAAGCAGAAACGGTCAGCTAAGTTGATGTTAGGTGAAGTGAACCCTAAGATCAGAAATCAAGTCCTGCTATTGTTCCTAACATATTTATAAGGTGATTTTTTTGTTGGTTTGTATGTTCCTCCCCGATGGTATAACCCCTGTTTTCACTGTATATGATGTTCTTATAATTTGTGGAGGTGAAGGGAAAAAACAAATTGTTTAAATAAGGATACACGTGGACCCATTGCAACAATGAGATATACAAGATGTTATGTCGAAAAACGAACTTTAAAACTTTGGTGGGGATGGGGGTGGAGTTAGAGGGGGGGAGATGGGAAAGGATGGGAAGGGGAAACAAAGGAGGAGGCAACAATGCTTGATAAAAAATTTACTCATTACCTTCCCCATGTTATTGTAACCCCTCTGTATGGTATTTTCACAATAAGAAAAATAATTAAAAAAGTAATTACACAGAATGGGAGAATACTTTTACTAGCTATACATCAAACATGGGCCTCATACAGAGTCAATAAATTATGTCCCCAACAAAGAAATCCTCAAAGAAACATCAGCCCAATGGTTAAATGGTGTAGACTTAAAAGTATCTTAGCAGCAGAAGAAATAAGAATGGCCAATGGACACATGAAAAGATATTCTACGTCCTTGGCCAAAAATATGCAAATCAAACAACATTGAGATTCTACCTCACCCCAGTAGAATGTCTATTATCAAGAAAACTAACAATAACCAATGCTGGTGAGGATGTGCCTAAAAGGAAATGCTACTACACTGTTGGTAGGAATGGAAACTTGTTCAACCTCTTTGGAAAGCACTATGGAGAGTCCTCAAAAGACTAAACATAGAGCTCCCTATGATCCAGGAAACCCACTCCTAGGCATTTATTCAATAGCCCACAAAGAATACCACACTAAAGCTACCAGCACAATCATGTTAATTTCAGCATTGCTTACCATAACCAAGATACAGAATCAGCCCAGATTCCCCACAGTGGAGGGATGGATCAAGAAAATGTGGTATATATACACAATGGAATTCTATGCTTCCATGAGAAATAATGACATTGGCCTCATTTGTAAGGAAATGAAAAGGCGTGGAAAAAAATTATATTAAGCAAATTAAGCCAGATCCAAAGAAGCAGAGGTTGCATGCTTTCCCTTACTTGTAGTAATCAGAATGTGCCAGTAAATCTACAAGTAAACACAATGGTTAGTAAAACAGAATTAAATTTAGATATGATGAATTAAACAGAACACTAAACATTCATACAGTGAGACCAAAGGAGAATAGTCTTAGCAGAAAATCACAAGGGATTAATAGTATATATGATCATACAAAATTATACCTAATGAGATGAGTTTCAAGAAATGGAAAAAGAGGCTTTTTACTTTTTGTGGTCTTCTTTCCTCTGTTTTTCTGTCTTCTGTTGCTGTTTTTGTTTTTTGTACCTTTGGACTTTTATGTAAGTTTATGTGATTTGGGGAGTAGACGGGAAGACACAGCAATAGTGGGACAAAGGGTGAACTTATTCAACAGTGCTACTTACTAGATAGCATATTGTAAATAAACTAAACAACTGTGGTAGAAGGGGTCAGGAGGGGACAAAAACAGGGAAAAATGAGCAAAGAAATGACACTGTTCAAAAAATAAATGCACTCAATACCTGACTTATTTAACTGTATCCCCTCTGTATATCACCTTTCCAACAAAAATTCAAAATAAATTTCCTCTTTATTATATTTAGGAGGATGACAAATAATTCTCTATATCTCCAGAGATTCCTCTAGAGACATTTATTATAAACAAATGATACCTAGATTTTTGTCTCTTCTAGAAATAAGTATTCCTTACTGAGATTTCTTGTGATATTTTTTCAAATTCTTTATTGTGATTAAGTGATTACATAATTTGCCAGATTTCACAGTATTGGGATAGTGATGCTTAGTTAAAGGCATAAACATATTGTAATTTTCATGGGGCAAATCTACATCAATGGAGATAATCATGTGGTTCTTGACCTTGGATCTGTTGATGTGTTGGATTACATTTATTGATTTACTTATGTTAAACATTCCTGCATCTCTGGAATGAAGCCTACCTGGTGGTTGTGTATGATTTTTTTATGTGTTTCTGAATTCGGTTAGCTAGAATTTTGTTAAGGATCTTTGCATCTGTGTTTCTCAAGAAGATGGGTCTATAGTTCTCTTTTTTTGTTGGTTCTTTGCCTGGTTTGGAGATGAGTGTGATATTGGCATCGTAGAATGAGTTTGGGATAGCTCCCTCTTTTTCTACTGCTCTGAAGAGCTTGAAAAGTATGGGTATTAGTTCTTCTTTAAAGGTCTTATAGAATTCCGTTGTGAATCCATCTGGTTCTGGGCTTTTCCTTGTTGGAAGAATTCTGATTATTTCCTGTATCTCGTTGTAAGACATTGGTTTATTTAATTGATTTATTTCTAGTTTGCTCCCTTTGGGCAACTTGTATTTCTCTAAAAAGGCATCCATTTCTGCTAGGTTTTCTTTCTTTAGAGAGTATAAGTTTTGAGAATAGTTCTTTATAATTGTTTGGATGTTTCGGGTATTTGTTATGATTTTCCCATAGCATCCCTGATTTTGTTAATTTGGGTTTCCTCTCTTCTTTTCTTAATTAATCTTGCCAAAGGTCATCAATTTTATTTATTTTTTCAAAGAACAATCTTTTTGTTTTATTAATTTTATTTATAATTTTCCTATTCTCTATCTCATTAATTTCCTCTCTTAATTTGATTATCTGGCTCCGTCTAGTAACTTTAGGACTTTAGGTTCCATTTTTTCATGTTTTTCTAGCTGTTTTAATTGCAACATGAGATTATTAACTTGGTCTGTCTCCATTTTCTTGACATGGGCACTAAGGGTGATAAATTTGCCCCTCAGGACTGATTTTTCTGTGTCCCACAAGTTTCTTTGTGATATGTATTCATTTTCATTGAATTGTAGGAACTTCTTAATTTCTTTTTTAATTTCTTCTGTTACCCAGATGTTGCTTAGAAGTGTGATGTTCAATTTTCATGTATTTGAGTAATTTCTGCGGTATGCTTTGCTATTGAGAACTAGCTTGATTCCACTGTGGTCAGATAGGATACTGGAGATTATATCAATCCCCTTGTATTTGCTTAAGTTTCTTGCATGAACTATGATATGGTCTATTTTGGAGAAAGTCATGAACTACTGAGAATGTGTACTGTGTCATTTTAGGGTGAAATACTTGGTAGATATCAGTTAGTTCTGCTTGAAGTATGGCCTCACATATTTTAGTAGCTTCTTTGCCAATCCTCTGGTTGGTGAGAGTCGGGTATTAAACTCTCCTAGTAGTATCATATTTGGATCTATTTTATTCTGTAAGTTTGAGAGTATTTGCTTAACATATTTGGGTGCTCCAATGTTTGGGGAGAATAAGTTGATAATGATAATATCCTCCTCTTGGATTTTTCTCTGTATTAATATGTAGTGTCCTTCCTTGTCTTTTTGTATTGATTTTAATGAAAAGTTTATTTTGTCAAATATCAGGATAGCTACTCCTGCTTTCTTACTTGGGGCACTTGATTGGTAGATTCTTTTTCCAACCCTTAACTCTGAGTTTGTTTGTATGTTTGGCTGAGAGGTGGGTCTCCTGAAGGCAACAGATGGATGGGTCATGTTTTCTTATCCAATCTGCAGTTCTTTTTCATTTGATTGGTAAATTAAGTCCATTAATATTTAACGTTATTATAGAGAGATGCGTTGTGGTTACTGTCATTTCCTGTTTTCCTAAGTTTTCTTTCCTTTCCTCCTGTGCTTACTGTTAGACTTCTAGTAATACGAGTCTGGTGTGGATCCCTGTTCCTGGTTACTTTCTTCAGGTTGTGTTCCCCCTCTTAATATTCTTTGTAATGCTGGCTTATTGTTTATGAATTTGTTTAGTTTTTCTTTACTATTAAAATTTTAGTTTCTCCATCGAATGTGAATGCTAGTTTTGCTGGATATATGTCTGCACTGGCAGTTATTGGTTCTCAGGGCTCTGATTGTACTTTCCCAGGCCTTTCTTGTATTCAATGTCTGTGTGGGGAGATCTTCAGTTATTCTAATTTTTCCCCCATTGTAGTATAGCTCCTTCTTCATTTTTGCTTCATGCAAGATTGTCTTCTTATTATTCAGATCTATCATTTTTACTGTAATGTGCCTAGAAGTGTTTCTCCTGGGATCCTGCTTGTTAGGTGTTCTATATGCTTCTGTTATGTAGGTAAGATGTTCTCTTTTAAGATGGGGGAAATTTTCATTGATAATCTTGTTGAATAGGTGTTGCATTCCCTTGCTTTGATATTCTTCAACTTTGTCCACTCCAATTATACAAAGGTTAAATTTCTTGGCACTACCTGTTTGCTCTTGGATTTCTCTTTGGCATAATTTAAGTGATTTTTCCATATCTGTTACTTTTTGGTCCAGTTGGTTCATTCTCTCTTCTGTATCTAATACTCTAAATTCCATTTCATTCACTCTGTTAACTATTGCTTCCATTGTGGTTTGCATGGAGGAAATTGACTCATTTATGGATTTGATGTTGGTTCTCAAAGTACTAATCTCACCTCTTAGTGGGGTGTATACTGCCTCTATCTTTGTGGGCATCTCCTGAATCTCTTTTGATAGTTTGTTCCTTTGTTCTTTAAATTTCTGATCTATTTCTCACTTTAATTCTTGAGTCATTGCCCCCAGCATCTCTTGGATGTAGCTTTTGTCTTCCATTCCTGCTTTGGTTCCATTGGAGCTCTTCCCTGGGTAGCTGCTGGCTTTTGAGGGTAGCTTGCTATCCTGGGTGTTGATAAACCTTGTAATTTTTCTCTGTGATTTTTTCATGGAGATTCAGATATTATTGGAGACTAATCTGAAATTTTGTTTTGGTCAATAGGTGTCTGTCTTTGCTTGGTTGCTGTTTCTGGGTTGGCATAGAGAGTCTGTACCTGGTCTCAATTCTGTTGGGAGCCAACCTCCAGCTACTGGTCTGACCCATGTAGGGCTCTCGGCTGTCTGCTGTAGATCACTTGCAGTTCTTGCCTTTAGAAGGACTCAGCAGCCTAGACTGCTCCTGTTTATTCCTACAGGTGCTCTTGGCAGGATCTGGTATGCTGGGTGTACTCTCCCAGCCTAGGGCATGCCAGTTGGACCTGTGCTGCTGTATATCCCACCTGGGTTATGCAGCCTGGAGTACACTCCACTGTTCACTGTTGTGACCCATGGGTGCTGTTCCTGGCTTGGGTGTTGAAGGTCCCTTCCAGGGGTACTCTTGATCTAGCCTGGCCAGCTGGATGTGCTCCATGGGCTGGTGGAACACTCTCACAGTTCCTAGTTTTAGTGGGTCCTGTGGTCCAGGTGTTGGGGTAGGGGGTCTGGGTCAAGATCTGGGGGTTCCCACCAGCTCTGGTCTCCCTTGAGGAGGGATAAGCTGTCCCTGATGGGTACTCACCCTGGAGCTAGTTGTTGTTTCTGTGCAATGTTGGTCACTGGTTGCTGCTGCAGTCATTGTTCAGTTGAGATCCTTGTGGGCTTGGCTGGGCAGTGGCGGCTCTGCATGTTTCTCCTCCTGTCTTTGCCTCTGTTGATGCTGTTCGGGTTGGCACAGTGGGATGGGCTGTGCCTTGGGTGGGCTGCGTGCTAGCCTCTGTCCGATGGGTAGGGCAGGGGTTTCCGTGCAGGTACTGAGTGCTGAGGTTTGTCTCTGTGCTCTCCGGATCAGCACCAGTACCTTCCAGGGCTTCTGCTCTGGTGTTCTGTGGGTGATCCATGTAGTTCTAGGGTTCTGAGCCCCTCTGCTAGGAGATTGAGGGGTTAGGGAGGGCTCTTTGTGCAGGCTCCTGGCTCGGATGTTTCTCTGTTCACCACAATCAGTGGGTCCTACACTGGTACCACAGGTGTCTTCTGCATGGGTGATCTGCAGATGACCCCCTATGTCTCTGGGGCCTCCAGCAGCCCACACCGAGCCAGGATTGCCGTGGCTTGGCATGTTGCCTCGCAGCCAGTAAAGTTTGGGGGAGGGGTCTTTGCACTTATCTGTTCTGAAATTCTTCCTTTTCTTTCTTTTTTTTTTTTTGTCTTTTTCTGACACTTGTTTTTCTCTGGGTGTTTGTCTTTTTGTTGTTGGTGGTCTCCTGGGGAAATTGAGCATTGGAATTCAAACTCTCCTTTTGGTTGGAGAGAGCTGTGGTTTCCCTACTGACCCATCGCCATCTTGGTCCCCTTCTTGTGACTTTTAAATCAAACAAAATAAAAGATTTACATGCCCTTGGAATGAAATTAATTTGTTAGTTTCTATTTCTGTCTTAACTGACATGAATTTGCCTGAACTTTTTTCCATACTGTAATCCTCTTGAGACCTCAAGAGAGCTACAATATTTGGAGAATGGAAACATAATTGAACAATTTATTTAATGAGAAGTTCTGATGATGCAACCATTAACACTCTATAAACATTAACCAGGTCCCTGTTGACCATCCCCTGAAATTGTCTGTTTCAAGCTTCCTTTAAAACCCCAGCAGAGTTCCTCAGGACAGATTTCACAAAAACAGACTTCCAGTAATCTTTATCATTATTAACATGAACAAATCTATTACTTTGCCTCCTCCTCAGCTTTTTATTTTGCTTCCTTCATCATGCTTTGAAATCTAGATTGCCTTTCACCACAAGGTATGTTCTGCCAAGTCTACAAATCTTCACTCTTGCTTATATATTGTTATCTTTCTTTGTATTTCCTGTTGTCAATTGTCTGTTTATGAACTAGATTGATTGCTGTTTCCTTTTGTTTTGTTAATAATTCCTATACTTTTGTAGAAAAAAATTACATGGCTAGGTGCTTGTAGTTCATGCTTGTAAGTCTAGTTACTCAGGATGCTGAAACCAGAGGATCACAATTTGAAGCCATACTAGGTAGGAAAGTCCATGACATTCTTAACTCCAAATAATCAGAAATTAACTATAGGTGGAGCTGTGGCTCAAGTGGCAGAGAACAAACTTTGAGTGAAGAAGCTCAGGGAAAACACCCCATCCCTGCATTCAAGCTCTAAGAATCACACACACACACACACACACACACACACACACACACACACACACACACACACACGCACGCACGCACACACACCATACACACACATAGGAGGGGTGATACAGTGAAATAAGGATGCGTTTCAGGTGAACGACTTGTACTATTATCTATATAATGACATTTTCTTCTCCCTATAATAAAGAAAAACAAAACAAACTTGTATTATCATAATGTTAGCTTTCAGGATAGAGGTGTAACAGGTGTGTGTGTGTGTGTGTGTGTGTGTGTGTGTGTCTGTCTGTCTGTCTGTCTGTCTGTCTGTCTGCCAGCACTGGGGCTTAAGCACTGGCCTTGACCTCTTTGAGCTCAAGGCTAGTTCTTCACCACTTAAGCTGGACTTTTTTTCTGAATACTTGGAGAGAAGAGTCTCATAGGCTTTCCTGCTTGGACTGGCTTTGAAACTTGATTCTCAGATCTCAGCCACCCAAATATCTAGAATTACAAGCATTAGTAGCCAGCATCACAGCCTCCAAACCTCTAGATACTGCTGACATTTATATTTGTCACTGCTTACCAGGTGATGGGATTCCTATAGCAAAAAAAAAGCAAAAGATGAAAACAACACAAAATCTCAGATTCACACATGAACCTGGTTTTTCCAGTGCAAGAGGAACATGAGGGTAGACTGCCAGAAATTTTACTGTATGGGCTTAGACTTGATCTCTCCCAGCCCTCAGCCTCTACTCCCCATCACACCATCTTTTCAAATCCTTCTGGGAGTCCAGCTCCCCATCCATCTACCAGCTGAAGAGTCTGTTTCCTGCATTTGGAATGCCCCTTGGTGCTAGGAGGGACCACAGGTGACCCATCTTTGCTCTCAGAGCACAACCATTTCTTGCCTAGAGGACCAACTCCTAGTCCCTTTCTCACATACTTGGCAGGGCATGCGTCTTTAGTCTATTTCCTTAATTTCCACTCAACAGACATTGAGAATCTTGACTTGCTTGAATCACTGTCATTGTAAACATGTAACTTACAAACTTACATTTGTGTCTTTTTTAAGCTTGATTATGAATATGTATTAATCAGGCCTAATAACAGTTTTCATTGTCATATTTTCATAGATGCATAACAGGAGCTTTATTCATATGTAACCCTCCCACTGGTCACCTGCTTTTCCTCCAACAGCCCTCCCAATTCTATAAATTTGTTTATTTGTTGCACAGTCTTCTAGATTACACATGTGATAGCTTTCTTTTCGAGGCTGTATGTTTCAACTCACCCAAGGCCCTCCAGGTCCATCCATTGTCCTGAAAAATAACATGATTTCTTGTTGTTTCATATGTGTGTATGTGTGTGTGTGTGTGTGTGTGTGTGTGTGTGTGTGGTCAAATGTATGTATATGACATTGCTTCTTTCCACATGGACTCTCCACTTTTTAATACTTTAAGATGATTTGGGGTTCATAGAAGCCTTGACTTTTTTGTTATTTGATTGGCTGGGGTTTAAACTCTTAGTTCCATGCTTGCTAGGGAAGCACTTAGGCATTCAGGGCACATGTCCAACCCTTTAGTCTTTAGGTTATTATTCAGATAGGATCTTTCCTTTATTTTTCACCCAGTCCAGTCTCAGATCATGAACCTACTAGTTTTAACTTTCATTTGGCTGTGATTATAGGAGCAATGCCATTACTCCCAGCTTATTTTAATTGACGTAGGGTATCACTGATTTATTTGTTATTATTTGTTTTTCACCACTCTGGCTTGTAAGTTCAATTTTCCCCATCTTTTTCTCCTGAATATCTAGGATTATAGGCATGAGCTTCTGTCTTCAAATATTAAATAATTTGATCAAATATATCTTTTATCCACGAACTCTGTGAAACTTACTCAGTCCATAGCAGCTGAAGAACATTGACAAACATATTCCATGTGGTTACTTTTTGGGGGGTAGGGTCCAGTTGTGTGCCTGAACTCTGGGCCTGGGTGCTGTCCCTCAGCTCTTCAGCTCAAGGCTAGAACTCTACAACTTGAGCCACAGTGCCACTTCTGGCTTTTTTTTCTGCTTATGTGGTGCTGAGGAATCAAACCCAGGGCCTCATGAATGCAAGGCAAGTGCTCTACCACTGAGCCACCTTCCCAGCCCATCCATGTGGTTACTTTTACAGATGATTGGGAATTGATTTGTTCTCTTATCTGTGTGCCTGACATTATTTTGGTTTGTATTGGAAGGAATTCACCCAGAAAGCATTTTTTTCTGAAAGAATCACTTGATAAGAAATGATACAGGCATTCAAAAGATGCAGCAGGCATACTTCAATGAAGAGAATTCAGTGTAAGATGACATGGTTAAAAAAAAAATAGCCATAGTGCAGGTTATTTATGCCTATAATGCTAGCTACTGAGGAAGCTGAGATCTCAAGATCACAGTTCAAAGCCAGCCTAGGCAGGATGCAGGTGGTGTTCAAGTGGTGGAGTGATAGCCTTGGGTACAAAAGCAAAATGAGACAATTCAGGCCCTGAGTTTAAGAACTTGGAGTGGCATACATACACACACATACACACAAACACAGATACTGACACAGATGTACACATAGACACACAAAAACACACATGCACACACATACACAGATACTAACCCTGGGCTGGTAATGTTAAATAGTGGTCTGAATTGCAGGCGGATGACTTTGAGTGTTTGCTTATCTCTGAAAGAGAATGCTAGTGACATGGAAGGGGAAAATCACACATCCATGGCACAATTCATCCTCATTGGCTTCTCAGAGGACCCAAGCCTGCAGCCCATTCTCTTTGGGCTGTTCCTGTCCATGTACCTGATCACTGTGCTTGGAAATCTTCTCATCATATTGGCCATCACCTCTGACCCCCATCTCCACACCCCTATGTACTTCTTCCTCTCCAAACTCTCTTTTGTGGACATCTGCTTCACCTCCACCACCATTCCCAAGATGCTG